CTGCTTGCTTGTCAACTCCTGAACTACTCCTGTTATCAGTGAAATCCAATTATTGTATTAAAGTAATCTCTTTGCTAGGAGTTTGATGTGGTCACCAGTTGACCTGCAAGCAGGTTTTTGATAGCGTGGTTACTTTTACCTTATCATGGCCCTGTTACTGAGTTCATGTAGCTAGGATGTGATTAAATGCTCAATTTAATTTTCTTTGGTATGTACAGATTTCATAAGCAAGAAACAAAACTCTAAATTGGGAGTGTACACCTTGTTCAGATCAGATTCAAAATCTGAGTTCTTCAGGTGTGGCTGCCATGCAGGAACATTTTACATTGCTGTGTGACCTACCATGGTATCACAGCCACAGATGAATATGTTGCACTGGAAGAAACATGAGGCTGATAGGGAAGCTGAAACTGGTGTCACCAGATCACCCAGGAGCTCCCATTTGCATGCCTAGAGCAGCCCATCACTGAATTAGTAAATTCTTCCATCAGGAGAATTTGTTGTAACCTCCTGTGAGTGAATCAGAGCTACTTCTTGTCATGACAGTCTGAGGTGTGTCTTGTGCCTGCTGGGCATGTGAACAGCTTAGTGCATGTCATCCAGGGAAGCTGGGTATCAGCCTTCACACAGAAGTGAATCTAATAGCATCCAGTTTCCTTTATTTGAGACCTTACTGAATTGTGTTTGGCAGTACGGGTATGTAAACAGATGTGAAAGACCTATATTAACAGTAATTATATTACCCGTTCTTGTGAACTGGGTTGTGAAGCAGCTAAAACTTGGCTAAAAACATACATTTTAATGTTCTGTACCCAAGTAATGTTTACAATGTTAGGCTGTAAGTCTGCATTTGATCTTTTTCCCTCAAATTTCTGCTTACTTTGGCTTGCTGCATTGCTTTTCCTTTTACCTTGTTTTCTTTGCTTGACTTCATCGTGCTTTTTTTAACAAAGCAGCACCTGGTCAGGTGAATAGGATCCTCACATGCTTCGTTGTGGTAGACAGGCCACTTACCTTCTCAGTGTTTCAAGCCCATACATAGGATACTGTGGCATTAATAGAGTTGTGGATAAATTATCTGAAGCACTAGGTACCTTAAATTCTGAAACTGAAAATTGCCTCACAAGTATGTCCTCCACCACTTCCCAGCTGCTTGCTAGTGAATGCCCTGCAGAGGGGAAGACCATCCCTGTGGTGTTCTGCACCCCCTCCTTGCCCTCCACCCTCCTCACCCCTCCAAATGGTTCTTGAGGAGGAATCTCTTAACTACTCTGTTCTCTTCATGTTCCTTCAAAAGGAGCATGCACACAGCCTGTCACTGTGGGCATTCATTTCTGCATTGCTGTCAGTGGTAAATCGCTTAAGTGCTTGCCTTTACTGTGATGCCCAGATCTCTTCTGCACCTCTGCAGCGGGGAATTCTGTAAAGTTAGCTACAAAAACAGTAGGGAGTCAGAGGTTTTCTGGAGACCATGAAGAATACTACAGTATCATTTCCTTCTGCAGCTATAGTTTACATTAGGTATTGTAGTTCACCTAGAAGCATCAGATTGCCAGAAATTGAAGGCTTCCCCTAAGGGGCCTCTTCGCTGCTTATTCACAAGCAGGTGAATTCTTCAGACATCATCTCAAAGGGAAAAGGGCAATGTTCGTGCAGGATTCAAAGTGCTTAGCTGTTAGCCCTCTGTTGTGTAAGGTCTACTAAGTTTTCCAGAAATGCAATAACAAGCAAAAATACTTTGTTGTTAGAGGGGAGCTGTGTGGCTGCTCACAGAGTAGGTGTCTCCTGTGAAATCTGAAGAAGACTCTAGAGAATTCAGGTTGGAAGTTGCCATTCTTACCTGCCTGTAGTAACAGTTGTTTTGTAAGTTTGTAACTCTTAGTTCCTAGCTGTGAATGTCTAGTAGGTGAGTTGCTGGCTTTTGATGAACTGTGTAAGCCTTTTCTCCAGATCAGTGCAGTCGGCAGTGCTGAAGTGAATGATGCTGTAGAGAAGGCTGTTGCATCCCCTTTGGCTGAGCCGTCTGAGCAAACAAAATAGAGTTTCCAGATTTTCCCACTCCTTCCTTTGCTTTGAAATAAAATATCCAGTGTTTTGTGTTTAATGAGAACTAATTATAAATATGAAAGGTTAGATTTTTATTTATTTTTTTTATTTTGGTTTCTTTTGGTTCATTACATGTAACTGTTCTGGTAAGACATATGTTATATGTAGAAATTGCTTACAGTAACAATGAGTGGGTGTGCTCTGGGATTAAAAAGTGAACTAGCTCCAATCTTATTGAAATAAAAAATAATACAGATTAACTGTTATATTTGGCAGACACAATCATACTTTTTTTTTAAGGGAATTATCCTTTATATTTGTTTTTACTCATGCAATAGTCACAAGTGAATGCTTTGAATTGTGGGTCTGGTTACATTGTGATCTTGTATTTGTACATTAAAGTGGAAATTTTTACAAGCTGAAGTTATAAATCGTGTATTTCAAACCCTGTTTCTTGTGTGGGACAGCTCCTACACTGTCAAGGGCAGATTTTGTTTTGTTCTTATTTTCTTACATTTTAAACAAAGCACAGATAGTTCAGGACATTCTGGTTCAGTGATTTGTTGTATTGGGCCTTTTCCCTTCCTCTAAAAGTCTTTGCCAGAAACTGCATAGTAGGGTCTTCACTTGAAATTAAAGAAAACAATATTTATGGACCTAGTGTATAGCACTGCCTGAGAAGTATGCACTTGAAAATGAAGTTTTAACTCCATAAGTGAGAGTAGGAAGATGAATTTTTATTTCAGTGTAATTTTTGAACCTGACATGTAAGATCATATCCTCTGACTGTTACCTTGCACTAATGGTGTGTGGCACCTAGAGTGTCAGCAGTAAGATTATAAATTCTTCTGGAACTTTAATGAGAAAACTACTCCTACAACTTGTTTGAATTCCTTGGATACTGTGCAGAATATACTTGTCAACTGACTTGTTACAAACAATGTTCAGTCAAAATTTATTGTGCATGTCTTTTGTTTTTGAAAAAAAAAAAGATTTCAAATAAGTAGTGTTCTCTTTATGTATGCTGGATGATCTCTTGTCCACATATTTACTGAATATCTCAGTCTGCCAATATCTTTCTTGACTTGCAAGCAAAATTTGATCAACAGTGCTGTTGTGTTTTCAAAGAAGGAACAGCATGAATGTAAGAAGTACAGCTTTATGTGGGGTTTTTGCAGAGTGCTACAATACAAGGTATTATCCATCCGATATCACAGGTTTAACCAAGAGGTGGGCAGGTTTTTCAGAGGTGCTCAGAGAAACCTCCTGTAAAGATCAATGCAAGACTCTCCATACTAAATTATATTAATCAAGATCTGAATTAGTTAGATTAGTTAGATCTTCCTCATAAATTTCCCACATGGTCCAGACTAGGAAAGTGGTGATAATAAGTGGGTAAACCTTCCAAATAGTACTTTGGTTTTTGGTGAATGGAGTCACTTTGAAGAAGAGTGTATGTTTAAACAGCTAACTGCTAGAAACACAGAGTATAGCCATCGGTGTTGGCAGAACAAGGGGAGAATACTACCTAAAATGTACTGGTTGAAAAACAAAGCTTCATTTGATAATTGTCGTGGTTTAACCCCAGCCAGCAACTAAGTACCATGCAGCCGCTCACTCACTCCTCTAGCCCCCAGTGGAAAAGGTAAAACCCATGGATTGATATAAGAATGGTTTAATAATTGAAATAAAGTAAAATACAATACTAATAATAATTAAAAGGGAAATAACAGAAAGAGAGAACAGTTTAAAAAAAAAAACAAAAACAAACAAACCAAAAAACAATAAACCCAAGTGATGCGTAACACAATTGCTCACCATCCACTGACCAATACCCAGCCCAACCCAAGCAGCAACTGGCCTCTCCTGGCCAACTCCCTCCTATTTATATACTGGGCATGATGACGTATGGGATGGAATATCCCTCTAGCCAGTTTGGGTCAGCTGTCCTAGCTGTGCTTCCCCCTGGCTTTTTGTGCCCCTCCAGCCTTCTCACTGGCAGGGCATAAAAAGCTGAAAAGTCCTTCACTTAGTATAAACACTACTTAGCAACAACTAGAAACGTCAATGTGTTATCAACGTTATTCTCATACTAAATTCAAGACACTGTACCAGCTACTGGTAAGAAAATTAACTCTGTCCCACCCAAACCCAGGATAATAATGAAAATATTTATTAAAGATAAAACAGCCGGGTGCATTATTCAATTCAGAACTGAAATGGTTTAAGTAATTTCTCATTTTATATTTGAAATAGAAGTAATTGAATTAATCCATTTTAAATGGGGGCTTGGTTTACTGCTTTGCCATTTGCCCTTGTCATGCTCTTAAGAAGGTTATTTTGCTAGTGGGCAGGGAACTAAAAGGTTAAAGGGTGTCTTTAATGTAGCAGAAAAATGGCAACAAAACCTGCCGGCAGGAAGCTGAACACCAATTTAAACACACCTCTCAACCTCATGCTTTTTTGTTCAATCTTGATTATTAAAATCATGGCAAATGACTGAGATTTTCTTCTTAATCTAATCCAGGAATATTTACTATTTTAGATAGAATGATAATGAGTGTCTGGCTGAAGTGTATCTTAGTCATTAAATGTATAAAGTTAAAGGGTGGTTTTGCATGTTTTTATAATTCCTATTTACCTTTAATTATGTTAATGTAGGGATCTTGTGGATGTAGGTCAAATTCCATGGATCCAGTTCTAGGGCTGAGGCACAAGAACCGAATAGCTTTCTTAAGCCCTCATTGATTAATATTCAGTGCTTTGTTGAGAAGTCAGTTGTATGCATGATGGCTATTGATGCACTGATGGGATATTTTTCTATTAATGGTGCTAACTTGCTGGCAGTTTCCATAGTAAATAGCTGATTACTGTGTTGGATGTCATCGCTGCCTAATGCGATGAAAATAAAGTAATACTGTATTTCTTTTTTTTCTTTTTTTTTTTTTTTTTAGGTAATAATCTATGGGGATTTGCCAAAAAATAAAGAAAATGTAATATATTTATCAAATCATCAATGTACAGGTTGGTATTTATGTATTTCTTAGCAGTTTTATAGATTTTTAAAAATCTGTTTGTTTGTTTACTGTGTCTCTCTCTTTCCAGCCTTGCCCTAACAAGCAAGAACTGGTTCAGAACTTCTAGTTCAGATACCTTTAATTATATTTATGTGTATAACATGTGCTTTTTATTTCATCAGTGGCAATTAAAAACTAACTTAACTAAACATTTTTGGCTTTTGTCTTTGCAGTTGATTGGATTATTGCAGACATGCTGGCAATTAGGCAGAATGCTCTCGGGCATGTCCGGTATGTCTTGAAAGATGGGTTGAAGTGGCTTCCGCTATACGGGTGGTATTTCTCACAGGTAAGATCATTTCCTTTTTGCCTTAAACAGTGGTCTTTCCCAGCAATCGGCTGTCACCTTCTAGGTTGGATGTAGGTACCTGATTTAAATAGAGTTTCAGAATCTTGGGTCATGTGAGACAAGATGCCCATTGCTAGGATGTGAATTGTCTCGCCGTTATGTCTTAGCACAGGTAGTGGTTGAGTTTTTTACTGTCTGTTCATTGTGTAAGAGGCCAGAGTGTTGCCCAAGATACGGGGTTCAATGTTTTCAGTTTGAAAATTGAAAAGATCTGTTGTCTTCTGGATGAGAAGAGCACCTACTTGCTTAAACAGCTCATAGGGTATGAATCTAGGCTGGAGCATGGGTGGTTGCCATCCTTTCTTCTAAAATCGCTATGTTTAGAAAAGAAGATGCTGCAGAGCAAGTAAGAAACTGTTCAAAATTTATTTTTACTGGTGGGTTTCCTGTCCCTGTCCCAGTCGCCTGAATTAACTATGGACTGTCACACCCTGTCGTACCTCACCGAAGGTATCTGTTGAGAGAAAATGGACTTCTGTGTTGTCTGATGCTTGTCGTCACTAATGACTCTGGTTCTCTACATTTTGTTTCCTCTGAAGTGGCCAGTCTGCTGCATGGAAATATTTTGCTCTTTGTCCTTGTCTGTAGCCAGTACATTGGTAGTGATTTAAGTCTGCTTTAATTAAAATACAGACAGGATATATATTCCATCCGCTATCACTAGGTGTCCAGAAATGATTTTTTTTAAGATTTTGGAAAATTATTATTGCTGTCTGGAATATCCGGTGCTCAGTTTCCTGACTGCTATATTGACTGTTAAAAGAAGGTTCCTGTGGAAATTTAATCTGAATCTAGCCTATATTTTTAATCAAAACATATATTAAATAAAATCTGTTCAGCTTTGGATTCCTCAAAACATAAAACTTCTGCAAGATTTCTTGGGTAACGATTATATATATTTTTATATATATATATTTATGTCAGTGACACAAATGAAAGGCAGTTTACTAACAGTGGTGATGCGTGTGTGTTTAAATGACTGAGACGGGATGCAGCATGCCTGCAGTGCAAGCTTATAGGTATTTTTATTGTTTTTATCACACCAAACAGTGCAAAAACATAAAACACTTCCTGCCCTTCCTGTTGATGTTCTGTCAGTGATGTCACTTACACTCCACTAAAAGTTTCCAAAGCCACGTAATTACGCCATGCTCACGGAATTCATATTCCCTACCTCAGGTAAACATCCTGTTTGGAAATAAACGTGGTCTGGATGTCCAGGAGAGCGAAATTCAGGCACAAAGGAAGTATATTTGTAAACATAATCCATTGTTGACTGAGAGAGGGGCTTTTAAAGTACAGCGGAAAAAAATTCTAACCTTAAAAACAGTACTTCCAGAAATCTGTTTTGAAAAGCATTCATATATTTGATCTCTTACTGAAAAGGAAATGCAATACAAATTGGGGAATTTGAGCTATATACAATTGCATAACTAGCATTCTTCTTCGGAGGCAGCTATTTAATCGCAAGAAAAGAAAAGAACTGCTTAAATTAACCTGTTATGTTCCAGGTTTGATTTATTATGTAGAAATACTTCTTTTCATAAAACTGGCTTTATTATTTTTGGGTGGATCTAAATTTTTTTTTCCCATCTTTCTCCACCAAAATGCAACTAGCTCCTATTCATCTAATACCGCCTGGTGAGGCTGGATGTAATTTTGATAAATGTTTTTGATATCCCAGAGTTTGCTTGACTTTTTAACATAGGAACTATGTCTCTGTCTTTTCTGTTATTCAGCATCAGCTACTGCACCTTTTTGGCTGTTACTGAATTTTAGCCAAATACTTAGCTATTATGGCATCTTGCCTCTCTTCAGCTTTGTAACCCTGCGTATATATGTCAGGGGAGCTGACATATATACGTAGTTGGGTTGTATGCAGCAAGTGGTGATCTTGCAATATCTAATTAGTCTGTTCTTATGTTACATTACTATGTATTTGTATTTACTTGAGAAGTACAAATCTATTTCTGAGCATTAAAAAGTCTGAGGTGGGGACACCAAACCTGTCTTTAGTCTTGTGTCCCTAAGCAAACAGTACAAAAGTGATTTGATTTCTCCAAGTTCACAACTTAAACAAGTAAAAGGTGGTCCAATATTTTTCCAGTTTACTGCAGCTGGTTAGTAATTTGATAAATAAAGGAAGACTTTGATTCCAGCCTTCCCTCATTTATCAAAGCTTGATCTAGTTGAGGTCACACAGAACAATTACTTAGCAATTACATGGAAGTCTTGTGAAGCAGGTGCATTATTTCTCAAACCAAACTTGAGTTTGCCCTTCCTGAAAGCGGTTGTTGTGGTACCACTGTACAGAATAAGACTTCTACTTCCCCTTAATGGTGTCAGATCTTAAAAACATTCTTAAATATGGAGTGTGTGGATAATGTGCAGCTCTCATGTGCTGCACAGATGATGGGCTGTTTTTCTGTTCATGCCGTTATCTATCCGTGACTGGTAAACTGCTTCTGGGGGTGCTGATAATGATGTTCTAGCCTGCTGAAGGTCAAGCTTGGTGAACTGGGGGACTCTGTTCCTGGCTTTGGTCTCCTGCCAGCCACAGCAGCACATCTGAGTGTTGCAGCTGGCTAATTCACCTTGGAAGGGAACCACAGACAATAACGTTAAGACAGAATATTTAATATGGTGTTAATGTACCATTGACTTTCTGTTCCTTTTCACTGCAGCTTTTGGAGAACAAATTAAAAGTCACATCAAACACCACTAGCTAAGCAGCTGCACAGCCATCTTTCCACACCATGAAAAGCAAAGGCTGAAAGCACTTTGCATAAGTTCTACTTCTGCCTGCCTCCTCCTAAGTCCTCAAACTTTGTTCCTGTGCCATGCAAATGAAGTAATAGCTCTACATGCACACACCACCACCCCTGTTTCTACAATGTACTATATCTTTTCCTGAGATAAGACATTTGAATAAGGTTCGGCATTTACCAGTTTTAATCTTACTGTCACTTTTCTGTTAAGAGTGTGTAAAACCATAAATGGAACAGAAATTATCTGACAAATACTAATGCCAAGAGTCAGGGTGGGCAAAAAAAAACTATAATTGAGTTAGGGAATCAGTTAGAAAACCCATTAAAAAAACATACCTTGGAAACAGAATTCTGTTATTTGGAAGTTCTGGTCTTTCTTTTTTTATGCTCCCAGAATTCATTGCATCAGTAGCAGTAGTTCATTTTGGAGCATGTTTGTTTACATTCTCTTGTTAGCTACACTTTTTAGATAAAACAAAGTGATAGAAGAGGGAAATGATGAGGCAAATTTTATTTCTTTATAACTCTCTTTCCTTGAGCTTTGTCATAATCCTTTTAGGGAAGTTTTTCTGATAAATTGTGTGGAACAACTTATAAAATTAATCTTTTCCAGGAAATGGTCTAACTTTTTATAATGCTTTTCAGTAAAAATACTTCTGTAATATCATAGAATCATAGAATAGTTAGGATTGGAAAGGACATTAAGATCATCTAGTTCCAACCCCCCTGCCATGAGCAGGGGCACCAAACACTAAACTCTGTCACCCAAGGCTCTGTCCAACCTGGCCTTGAACACCTCCAGGGTTGGAGCATTCACAACTTCCTTGGGCAACCTATTCCAGTGCCTTACCACCCTCACTGTGAAGAACTTCTTCCTTATATCTAATGTAAACTTCCCCTGTTTAAGTTTAAAGCCATTACCCCTTGTCCTACCACTAGAGTCCCTGATGAAGAGTCCCTCCCCAGCATCCTTGTAGGCCCCCTTCAGATACTGGAAGGCTGCTATAAGGTCTCCATGCAGTCTTCTACAGACTTTGTGTTACTTATTCAATTATTACCTCGGTATGTACTATATTCATTGAAAGTTTGCTTCTCTAATAAAAAGTGCATGGAAGTTTTCAAGACCTATACTAGTTACTTTTGTGCTATTCATAAATTTTTTATGTGGAGGTTAAATACTTGTAATTCCAGTATTTGCATTAGTCACTATTTAAGAATGGTCACACAAAATCAAAAACATTGACCTATAAGTACTTGTATGTGAGTAACTTCAATTGTGCCGTTTTCCCTTTATATACAAGGTAAGCTGATTGTCAGTGTTGTTGGGAATAGATAGATTGCTGGGGTTGGTTCCAATGCCATGTTTCAGTTAATTATTTAACACCTTTAAATAGACACTTCAAGTGTCTGATGCTTTTTTTTTTTTTAGATCTGATCTTTACTTAAACAGATTCTTGTGAACTTAAGTACATGCAAATTGAAATTAGTTTCAGGTGCTTTCATCCTAGGAGAAAACATCTTGTGGGCAATTTGCAGTATGAGTCATAAAGGTGACTTTTCACTCTCATCTTGTTTGTTCTTCTATCAACTATTCTACATTAAACTACTTAAGTATTTGATACTTTTTTTTTATTTTCCTTTTTTAGCATGGAGGAGTCTATGTAAAAAGAAGTGCCAAATTCAATGAAAAAGAAATGAGAGAGAAGTTGCGGGCCCAGATGAAAGCCCAGACTCTGGTAAGATTATACCTCCGTTCTCTGCATTTCTTGTGCCTTTTTTAATGGCAGAAGCTTGTTGGAGAAATGAGCCATATCTGATATCTACAGACTACAAGATGGTAGTATGGATTTGTTTTCTTTCTGTATTTTTACAGTTACTTTCTGTAATTACAGTGATACCTCTAATTAAACTTAAAAAATTTGAGTAGTCTTTAATGAATAACAGCAACTTTGTGGTTGTGTCTGTAGAGGGCAGGGGGGATGTGGACTACATCTTAGAACGTAAGCTATAACACCTTCCTTGAGAAACCATTGTTAGTGTTCCCTGTGTTTCAAAAGACTACTGTATGCTTGTCAGAGACTGGTATTCTTGACTTCTGAAAGTCAAGAACCATTCTTACCAAGTCTTAATTAGTCATCCCAGTGATCCATCATTTTTAATGGCAGTGATATCTTAGAACTGAGTAACTTTGTCTGCTACGCCTGGAGGAGAAAAAAAAAAGCAAACCACAACAAAACCAAAAACAAAGAAACCCTGAACTCTAGATAATTTTCTATTTGAAGAATGATTGTTAGTGCCAAGTGACTTTTCTCATGACTCCCTGTATAGTTTGTGGCTCAGTGGTTAGAATCACAGTGCTTCACTTCCATTACTTGCTGTGCATTAAAATATTTTCTGCCTTGCTGGCTAGACTTAAGAAAACCAACTCAACAAGCATTGATGTAGAACAGTTACACTTTTATTTAAAATGATGGGATTAGGAGTTGCCACTCCATATGCAGAGTGTCAAACCTTTTTTTTTTTTTTTTGACATAGTGTGTTTATGTTTGTGCATGTTTGTGTTGAAAAAGTAAACTGGCCTTATACTTACTGAGAGGCTTAAATGAGTAAAGCATCCCTAAGACAGTGCCCAAACTCATTTTGTCTTGAACTAAGATGTAGCATGAACCAGGTATTTTTGTTTTTAATTAAAGTAAGAAAGTGCATTTGTTTCCAGTTTGTAGCATGTAAGTTACAAATGCCAGACATACATTATAACAGCTAAACTTTTTCTGTCCTATGTCTAATCTAATGATGTCCACATGGAGAAGATGGTCACCTTGAATAGTGTAACTTGTGCCTGCAAGTGGTAACTTGTGCCAGGGAGGGTCCTGGGATGTGAAAAGTTTGCATTGCGTCAAGTTGTTTTCTGTATGTCAGTGGCAAAGATTCTGCTTTCTGTAAAAGCTGAGGTGTAATGGAATAAACAAAGACAAATTGGAGGATATATGAAACATATTTGTAGTCATCCCCCTAAGCAATTCCTCCCTCCTACAGAGTGCTGGTTAAGTTCACTTCCGTAAGTCTAGATGAAATATCCTATCAGGGTGTTTTCTTGCATAGTCCCATGGATTTCTTGCTAGTTTCTGGTCTTCTAGGCAGCTTCTGGTTGAGTCTGGCTTTCTGGCTTTCCTCTGCACCCCCTAAAATACAAGGGTTTGTTATAATAAGGTTTTGATTGAGTCAAGAGTCTTGATTTGAACTCCATAAAATTAGTGTCCTTTATAGAAACATGGCCTGGTTTTTAATATAGTCTTAGGAAGATGTGCCTAGAAACTCACCTAATTCTGCATGGTTTTGGAAATGATTTTCAGTGTTGCTGCAGTGCTATAAATTGACTGGACAGGCTAGTGTGTTATTTTTAGTCCATCTGGAATGTAAGGGGAGATTTAAGCATAAAGCTTTTCTTTAAAGTTACATCCTCTGTGGGTTCTGCTTTCCTTGGTGCATGTCTACATGTAATTAATGAAAGAAATAAATCCAGAAGGCTTTTTATCTGAAATATTTTTTCTTTTCCCTCCTTAGTTGTGTGTGGATTGAAAGCCTATACCTAACCTATCTAAGCTAATGCCAAATTAATTTGGGACCACTTGGGTATTTTTGTCGTTTGCAGTTGGTTATCTGGAAGTTTGGTGGTGTTGGAAATAAGCACAGAACTTAGACGTGTTTACCAGGCAGTTGGTGTCATTTTCCTTGTATTCTCTAGGGCAGCAGCATAAAAGAGAAGTGTAACTGCTGCAGAAATGCATTCTGTTCTAAATCTCTATTGGTCAAACCATATGCGGAGTGACACTTAAGTTTGACAAAGCCAAAGCTGTCAAAAGCCTATTCACTGAGACAAATGTTTACATCTGCTGGGCTAAAAGACACAGACCGTTGAGTTGTCATTTGAGGGAAGACTAAATTTTCTATAATCCACGTTATCTGAGAGTTTAAATGGAGATTCTGTAAATGCTCTTTAACCTACAATTACTACTGGGAAAAGAACATGATGACCTGTGTCCTTACTGCATTATTCATAAAGAAACTTTGCAGTTCTGCAGCTTGGTGTGACATTCACAAGCAAAAAGTATTACATTTTAAATGAAGACGTTTTAATGAGTAAAGCAAGTACGCCCTGAACTCACCAGTTTCATGTGAGAATAATTAATTTACTACTCTGGAATTTTTATTAAAATTTATACACTGGATGCTACAGCTCAGGGTGGGCTTTTCCTTATTTTAGTGAGCAGCTGTTGCTGCTTTGTCATCTTGCACGTATGTGGTAGAGTTCATTCTTTAATGTAGTGTTAGAGAAAAGCTTGCCTTTCAGCTGTTAAGGAAAGAATTATAAGCCAATAGAGAGGAGATGGACGGGAATCTGTGTTAAGGGTCACCGTTATTTACAGTTTCTCTCCACATACAATTTAAACAAAAGAATCCAAATGATTAATGTTCAGCCTGTCTGGAGCCATCCCTGTTCCCATTAAGAAACTGAAGACGTGTAGAAAGGCAGAACCAGTCTTCTACTCTCGTTAGTGTAGCAAACCCTGGTTTTGTAAAGTAAATTGGAGGTGGATTGCAGACAGGAAAAATAAGACTGCCTCTTGGCCGTCTTATATTCACAGTAGAACCGGATTAGTAATCTGGTATGCCTTATTTTGGTATGGACAGTGGATTGCAAGATGCTTCTTGCTCACCTTGTCTTACAATTTCTTCTCACTTGCGTGCCTTAAACAGCCTCTTCTCCTGACCTGCTGTTCACAGTTGGTCAGTTCTTCTTCCCAGATGCAGCGTAGCAATATTGGATGTGCACGAAACTCTGATGCTATTGCACCTGTGTTCTCTTAGTGGGGATCTTGAATTAATAGATTTTCTTATTTATTTTTGGAAATTACTTTGTTTCTCAGACCGTCATTGAAGTATACACTCGTATGGTTAATTATTGGACCTCTTGTTGGCAAAACTCACTTAAAACAATGTGATTTTGTTTAAAATTCCATCAAATCTTGCTGATTATTAACAAATTGCAATCTTATGTCTTGTGAGAGCAGAGACTGTCACACGGTTTGAAGGACACTTTTGTGTTAATACTATTTTAATGTACACCGTAAGAAGATAAACATATTTTTTAATGGAACAAAATATCCAGCCCACGCTTGATATAGTCAATCTACTTGTTTTATAAAGAAAGTTAACTCTTCTGAACAACGAACTATTTGGTTTGATAACTGAAAATGTAACTTAGATTTCTTTTCATCATGCACTGGGAGTAGAAAATCTACATTCTGAGATGTGGGATTTAACCCAGTACAGCCAGTCTATCACTGGTTACTGTGTGGTTTGTCATTCTCTCAGTTACAGAATAAATCTTTGTCATGTTAAGCAGTGCTAATCAAACAGTAAAAACCCAGAGGGGATAGATAACGTTACTACAACTGCTTTAAGGCTTAATATAATTATTTGTCATATAGTTACTAATTTGCAAATTCTTATCAGCTTCTTTGTAAATCCTGTATGTCCTTGCTTGCTTTCCTCACATCACATTTTGTATTTTGTTCCAGTTATATTAGATATGCTTTCTCATACCAGATCTTTTTCAGTTACTGAGCTGAGTGTTAATGTTTTTCGTCTAGCGTATCTTCTAGGCAACAGTCTAAATAGAATTATGTATGAATCTCTCTAGTTGACAGGATGCAATAATAGTAATATTAAAACTAAGGAAATGCATTGTTTGATATAATTTTGAACTTCCTAAATAAAAATAATTAATTGTTTTCCCCTTGTTGCCCATCCGGGAACAGCACAGTAAATGCAAGATAACTTTAGTCAGTAGTTACCACTTCTTGACGCCCTATGTTCTTCTACAGTGGCAGCTGCTCTCCCCAGACACCCTCCAAACTGCTGTCCTCAGCCAGGTTTTCTCTTTACCACCTCTCCTCATTGTATGTTTATGGCATCTGGGCTGACTTTGTTTTGTGATCCAGGTGCTCATGTTGCATCATACCCCTTTCCTCTGCTCCACCCATACCAGCTCCTTTTGTGACACTCGAATCGATCTCAAAGACTTCCTTGGCTGCCCTTCTCCCTCCTCTGGAAGCACATCCTCCTCTCAGTGCCATTGCTATTTCATTTTGCCTGAGAGACCTTGACAACATTGAGGAAATGAATAGAGTTCTTATTTGGGTGAAAGCAGTTCTCATCATCCATTTAATTTCATTTGTGCATTGCACAGGTTCACCAGCATTATGCTGGGGACTCTGCGGGTAACCCCTGCCTCTTCTCTGTTTTTCTGGCTCCAACAGGAATTGGTAGGGTTCAACTAAATGAATCCTGATCCACTCCTTAAAGGTTTCAAATTTATGAGAAATAGTGAATGTATTGACACCCACCCATTACACAGAAATAGGCATGAAAGTGCCATGTAACTGAACATGTGGACCTACTCTGCTTGGGCTAAAATTGGTGTATCAACGAACCAGGGACTATGATAATGCAAAATTTTCTATGCCATTTTGAACGTGAACACTGTATTTTGCAGTCACTGTGATAAAATGCGTAACTTATGAAGCTAATTGCCCTAAATGAAATATTCTATATTAAAAAAAAATGGCCTTAGGTGCAGCTAGTGTTTCTAGGCAGTTAAAATGCTTTTACAACTCAACAGTTCTTAATTCAAGTTCAGGGATTATTTAGTAATTAAAATCTTAGAGATTTGTTGTTCTTGTAATCTTTGGAAATAGTCTTTAAGGATTTAGCCTCTGCAGCCCATAGTGGGAGAGGAGAAAAGCCAGTCATACAAGCAGATTTGGGAGGCTGAATTGCACTGGCAGAATATTTTTGTCATGTGCAGGGCTCTGAGAATAAGTAAGACATCTATTTATATTCATGAATTTTACTCAGGTAAAGTAGGCCTAATGAGCTACATACTAGGTTTCTGTACGCTGACCTTGAAGTAAAGGCAACTTTTCTGTCTTGTTGGTATGCTTTCATTTCAGAGATACTTAGATTCTAGTCAACAGACCTGTTCAGCTGCTTGTGTTCTAGAGGTTTACAAGAATAATTAACGTATAATTTCAATCCTGCTTTGTATTACACACGTAGGACTGGAGTAAATAGACACTATTCTCCATTGTGTAATCAGCTATTAATGGCTGATTAGCTGCTTGTAAGTCCTGACCTTTGCAGCAAGAATGGTAATTCCTACCCTGTGTGCTTCACTTTCTTTACCCTGTCAGTTGTTACT